TAGCCAGAGCAGATCAAGGAATTCCAGAATTCTTCTACATGAAACAGAACACTTTGTGGAGCTGAGATGGGGTGAAGCAGTAAGTCGGTCATGGGAAATGTACAAACCAAGGAACTGAGAAGTTGCTGAAGGCATCTCATACTCCACAGGACCATTACACAACCCTGTCTTTCCTCAAAATGTCACCTCTCTTCTGAACTTTCCCTATTAATCTCCACCACCACCTATGCCCAGCTCCCCAGGAAGGGACCACTGCTGATTCTTCTAGGGGTTCCCCATGGATTTACCATAGGAGAATGGACGTCCTCCTGGCTCTCAGTCCCTGAGCCATGTGAGCATCCAGTGAGAGAAGTCAAATGGAATTAATCAGTCCTTAAGTATGTCATAAGCACCTACTGGGCACCATGCACAGTTCTAGCCCTGAGGACAGACACTGGTCTGGGGGAAGGGGAAAGAAAGGGTCCTAAAATACTTTTACAGATCAGCTGACATGGGGTGCAAGCCTGGATCACTTATATAAGACTTTCCTTACTAGTGGAGAGGAGTATGATACAGGGTTGTGTGCAAACTTAAATAAGGAACAGAGTTAGCAGGAGAGCATGGGAGAAGAGAGATTTGTTGTTTCCTGCTTCCAGAGGACAGGAGGACAGATACGATTCCCAACCTTATCAGAAGAGATTGAGAGAAAAACATAACAGACTTTGGAAGACAGACACATAGGGGAGAGCTCCCTGCCCCCCCACATCCCCATGTTTCCATTTGTCCCTCTTAACTTGGGGGAATTTCCACTTAGATGAGACCAAGGAGTATCTCTTAGTCAAATTGAGAGAGCTCATTCACCCTGTGTATTGTTTGGCATATTCTAATCTATATAACTTCTCTAACTTCTATTTGCCATCTGCTTAGATAAAAGGGTTCATTTACTATTCTGTACATATGATGGTCTTTTCTGCAACTAGCATTTGGTGGGAAGGAATCTACCCTTAGGCTATAACCTTGGGGCCCTACACCTTCCTCTTTAGGTGACAGTAAGCAAGAAAGCAGCTTGAACCCCAAGAATTAAATTATTTCCCCATGACCATCAATATTTGGGGAGGGGTGTGTGTGTGTGTGTGTGTGTGTGTGTGTGTGTGTGTGTGTGTGTG